AGAATGACGTGAGATGGGAGGCTCTAGTTCACGGATCACTACAGAATGACGTGAGATGGGAGGCTCTTTTACACGGATCACTACAGAATGACGAGAGATGAGAGCCTCTATTACACGGATCACTACAGAATGACGTGAGATGGGAGGCTATATTACATGGATCACTACAGAATGACGTGGGAGGGAAGCCTCTATTACACGGATCACTACAGGATGACGTGATATGGGAGCCTCTATTACACGGATCATAACAGAATGACGTGAAAAGGGAGCCTCTATTACACGGATCACTACAGAATGACGTGAGATGGGAGCATCTTTTACACGGATCACTACAGAATGTATGAGATGGGAGGCTCTATTACACGGATCACTACAGAATGACGTGAGATGGGAGCCTCTATTACACGGATCACTACAGAATGCATTAGATGGGAGCCTCTATTACACGGATCACTAGAGAATGACGATAGATGGGAGCCTCTATTACACGGATCCCTACAGAATGCATTAGATTGGAGCCTCTATTACACGGATCACTACAGAATGACGTGAGATGGGAGGCTCTATTTCACGGATCACTACAGAATGACGTGAGATGGGAGCCTCTATTACACGGATCACTACAGAATGACGTGAGATTGGAGGCCCTATTACACGGATCACTACAGAATGACATGAGATGAGAGCCTCTATTACACGGATCACTACAGAATGACGTGAGATGGGAGGCTCTATTACACGAATCACTACAGAATGACATGAGATGGGAGGCTCTATTACACGGATCACTACAGAATCACGTGAGTTGGGAGGCTCTATTACACGGATCACTACAGAATGACGTGAGATGGGAGGCTCTATTACACTGATCACTAGAGAGTCACGAGAGATGGGAGCCTCTTTTACACGGATCACTACAAAATGATGTGAGATGGGAGGCTCTATTACACGGACCACTAGAGAATGACGTGAGATGGGAGGCTCTATTACACGGATCACTACGGAATGACGTGAGATGGGAGGCTCTATTACACGGATCACTACAGAATGACTTGTGATGGGAGGCTCTATTACACGGATCACTACAGAATGACGAGAGATGGGAGCCCCTATTACACGGATCACTACAGAATGACGTGAGATGGGAGGCTCTATTACACGAATCACTACAGAATGACGTGAGATGGGAGGCTCTAGTTCACGGATCACTACAGAATGACGTGAGATGGAAGCCTCTATTACACGGATCACTACAGAATGACGTGAGATGGGAGGCTCTATTACACGGATCACTACAGAATGACTTGAGATGGGAGCATCGATTACACGGATCACTACAGAATGACGTGAGATGCTAGCATCTTTCACACGGATCACTACAGAATATATGAGATGGGAGCCTCTATTACACGGATCACTACAGAATGACGTGAGATGAGAGCCTCTATTACACGGATCACTACAGAATGCAATAGATGGGAGCCTCTTTTACACGGATCACTACAGAATGCATTAGATGGGAGCCTCTATTACACGGATCACTACAGAAAGCATTATATGGGAGCCTATATTACACGGATCATTACAGAATGACGTGAGATGGGAGGCTCTAGTTCACGGATCACTACAGAATGACGTGAGATGGGAGGCTCTTTTACACGGATCACTACAGAATGACGAGAGATGAGAGCCTCTATTACACGGATCACTACAGAATGACGTGAGATGGGAGGCTATATTACATGGATCACTACAGAATGACGTGGGAGGGAAGCCTCTATTACACGGATCACTACAGGATGACGTGATATGGGAGCCTCTATTACACGGATCATAACAGAATGACGTGAAAAGGGAGCCTCTATTACACGGATCACTACAGAATGACGTGAGATGGGAGCATCTTTTACACGGATCACTACAGAATGTATGAGATGGGAGGCTCTATTACACGGATCACTACAGAATGACGTGAGATGGGAGCCTCTATTACACGGATCACTACAGAATGCATTAGATGGGAGCCTCTATTACACGGATCACTAGAGAATGACGATAGATGGGAGCCTCTATTACACGGATCCCTACAGAATGCATTAGATTGGAGCCTCTATTACACGGATCACTACAGAATGACGTGAGATGGGAGGCTCTATTTCACGGATCACTACAGAATGACGTGAGATGGGAGCCTCTATTACACGGATCACTACAGAATGACGTGAGATTGGAGGCCCTATTACACGGATCACTACAGAATGACATGAGATGAGAGCCTCTATTACACGGATCACTACAGAATGACGTGAGATGGGAGGCTCTATTACACGGATCACTACAGAATGACGTGAGATAAGAAGGCTCTATTACACGGATCACTACAGAATGAAGTGAGATGGGAGCCTCTATAACACGGATCACTACAGAATGCATGAGATGGCTTCCTCTATTTCACGGATTACTACAGAATGACGTGAGATGGGAGCCTCTATTACACGGATCACTACAGAATGACGTGAGATGGGAGCCTCTATTACACGGATCACTAGAGAATGCATGAGATGGCTTCCTCTATTTCACGGATCACTACAGAATGACGTGAGATGGGGGCCTCTTATACACAGATCACTACAGAATGACTTGAGATGGGAGCCTCTATAACACGGATCACTACAGAATGCATGAGATAGCTTCCTCTATTTCACGGATTACTACAGAATGACGTGAGATGGAAGCCTCTATTACACGGATCACTACAGAATGACGTGAGATGGGAGCCTCTATTACACGGATCACTACAGAATGCATGAGATGGCTTCCTCTATTTCACGGATCACTACAGAATGACGTGAGATGGGGGCCTCTTTTACACGGATCACTACAGAATGACGTGAGATGGGAGGCTCTATTACACGGATCACTAGAGAGTCACGTTTGATGGGAGCCTCTATTACACGGATCACTACAGAATGACGTGTGATGGGAGACTCTATTACAAGGATCACTACAGAATGACGTGAGATGGGAGCCTCTAGTTCACGGATCACTACAGAATGACGTGATATGGGAGCCTCTATTACACGGATCACTACAGAATGACGTGAGATAGGAGGCTCTATTACACCGATCACTACAGAATGACGTGAGATGAGGGCCTCTATTACAAGGATCACTACAGAATGCATGAGATGGGAGGCTCTATTACAAGGATCACTACAGAATGCATGAGATGGGAGGCTCTATTACACGGATCACTACAGAATGACGTGAGATGGGAGCCTCTAGTTCACGGATCACTACAGAATGACGTGATATGGGAGCCTCTATTACACGGATCACTACAGAATGACTTGAGATGGGAGGCTCTTTTACACGGATCACTACAGAATGACGTGAGATGAGGGGCTCTATTACACGGATCACTACATAATGACGTGAGATGAGGGCCTCTATTACACGGATCACTACAGAATGACGTGAACTTATTCACCCAATCTCACTAGCTTTTGATTGAAGTCAGATGTAAAAAAGACGCTACTAAATGTAATGTGTGAAATATTTATCATAAGAGGTAAAATGATTCAGAACACACTATGAATAAACTAGTTTGACCTGCAAACAATTATTTTATTCAAAAATCGTAGAGTGATTATTGGACGTCGCTGCATATGCCGTACGCACACACTATTACATTTCTCAAACGCCACCGCAACGCTCGCTCGTCTGAAGGAAGTACTGTCAATCGAAAAGCTGATTGAAAAAAGCCATTTGTAGGATCGGCGATAACACCACACGATCTACTCATGAATGAAGTAACTGGTTCATACAGGTGAATAAAACCTATGAAATCCTGAAGGCACATTGTTGCGTTGTCGCCTTGTCCCCTTACAAAAACAAACAAAAAGGGTTCAACATTAGCCAATGCGACAACGTGACATTTTGGCCATTTGGCTCAATGTCGCGCGACAACACGACAATGTTCCTTCAAGGGTTCCATAGAAAACACATTTCTCTATACGCTTTGAGAAACTCTATTTCTATTAGGCGCAAGATTGTATACACTGACTATGTTCCACTTCAGGGACTATGTCAAAAGCGACAAACTACCCTTAAGAGCGTAACGAGAGAACCCTTTAACCATATGGTTAACCCATCATTCTTAATTTCCTTCTTCATTTCACAAATTACGTAGCCGCAGATTTCTTTTTACAAACTGTTGCAGGAATGAGTGATGGGTAGATAGACATAATCAAATTTAACAACAGTTATTCAAATTTCAATTACATAAAAAAACTCGGTATACTTTCTTTTTCTATGATTTTATTATTGACAGGGTTTCGCTGGAAACGGCGTAACAAGCGGACACTTTGGTTAACCCGCGCTTTTTAATTTCCTTCTGATTGGAATTACACAACAAAAGTGGGTAATTTTAATTGACTTTTTTGTAGGTGATGTGCCCTTTTGTACATTAAAAACTTTTACACACGCCTCACCTTTAACTCGAATGTATGGTGGGCCGACTTCATTCCGTGTGTTGTAGCACTGGCCAGAGGTTTGTACAAGCCCTGACCGATGCATGTTTGTCTTTATAAAAGTGCACAAATAATGACACTAGTGCAAACAGTCAGTGACATGAGATACGTTGGGTACACGTAAAAATCGTGTGAACAGGATAATGACCCTGTAAATTCTAACACGCCCAGTTTCTATGAAAGATCAATGAAACATCACGAAACTCAGTTTGAGATGAGGTCAGAACATTGACATCCGTGCGCGTTCACGCGTTGAAAGTCTCTCTTTGAGGGCTATTCATTTGACTACAGCCACTGAAAAGTCAGACACCAATCTGTCTATGCCCACAATTGTCATTTAAACCTATTCATGCGTTTTAAAATTTGTTAGCCGATTCATATGTTCTTCTCCAAGTATAACTTTTGATAGATATTGTAAGTGAAGACGTTTGAAGACGTAGCCATATTGTGGGGACCTGTGTGTTAGGTTGTTAGCTATGGCTATGACTTTCATATGGATGCAAGCCTATTACCGGATAGCGAGCGAGTCTTGTTTTCACCTTTTGGTCAGCATGCAGTGGTATCACGCTCCGTCAGTTGATGTGGGAGGAATGCCCCCTAAAAGACAAAGGCTAGCAGATCAACTGTCATAATCGTGGCAAATCTTGGATTCAACCCCGTGATCAGCGGATCCTGGTAACCCAGAGACAACTACGCGCAGCGAACCACATCTCCATGACGTCATACTTATAGATGGTCATGATGACATCCCATGAAACAATAGTTATGACGCTCTGAAACAATGACGTCATGACGTGAACTATGACGTGTCGGTGCTCATCTAATCGAACTTAACTGACAGGAACATGTCATTCAAGTAGATGTACGAAAGGGCGTTTGTAAGAAGTGTCAACAAGGTAAGTGTATGTCAGCAGGAGTCCTTCAGATGCACAAGTAGCTAACTTCACAGGATAACACACCTACAACCAGTTTTCAAACAGTACTGGATTCGCACACAACTGTGCCATTGGGAGATGTGTATTGAGAACGTGGCTGCAGGAAGGAAGCTCGGCTCCAGAAAACTCCATTCTGTCACCGGTAAGTGTAGTTTCTACTTAAACATAATTGTACATTGGGGGATGATCTGAAGATATATTTTTTTTACAAAATTCGAACTGATAAGTTTCATTTACATCGGTGACTGGATTGGTTAAATTGTGAAATCGTGTTGATAGAGACTTCCACAAGAATTATATTTTGAAAAAATAGGTAAATCTTGACACAATAATTTAATTATTGTTAAGTAACTCAAACAAAATATGATACAAATTATACCTTACACTCATATTTTGATTTCCAAATTATGCATCTAGTCACTTTAGCCTGTCAGTCGGTAGCGTGTTACTTCAACATGTCTCCTAAAATAAAGTTTAAAATGAAAACCGTTAAACATGATGGAAACATTTTCATATGGAAACTAAACGCGACATGGAACACGCCCTTGTAGAACACACCCATATACGCTGGAGACAGACATGTAGAGTATCTAATAGCCTATGTCAAAAGCATTAAAAAAGCCTTATTGACATAAATATTCACAGTAATTCTGTTAGTTTCCCCAGGTATGGGCTTCACACAGTGTGTCCGGGTGAACAGGGTTTTTTTTAACCACGAGATAAAGAGTTCATAGAGTGAGCATATATTCCTCTGTGTTGTGTTGGTTCTATTACAACTAACATTTATGGCAGTACGTATACACCCCTGAAACTGGTCAAAACCTTACAAGAGTTCATGTGGATATGATGAACCATTCACTGAATATTTGTACATCTCCATTACAACTAGATCAGGTAACATGCCAAACTATCTAGGTAATTCAGACAGACAGACAGACAGACAGACAGAAGGCCATTTGACCCATTGTACAAAATACATTTACATTTTATTCATTTATTTATTTATTTTTTTTTTTTATTTTTTTAATTTTTTTTTTTTAGAGTCGTATCTAGGTAATGCTATGTAAAACAAACTGTGATGGACGTGTTTCAAAACGTCGACTTTTTCTCAAGCAGGAAAATCATTGATATTTGTGCAGTCCAAATGCACCGTTTGGTGACTCAGGCCAGTCGACAGCTAGTTGTCTATAAATATTCCATGTTCAGGTCATTTTGTGTGGAAATATTTGCCGAGGGACACCCTGGGGATGCTGCAATCACACACAATAGATCTCCCAACACACTGTGTCTCGTGAATTAATCATGTCATTAGAACACGATGAGCCGCAGCTCCTCATTCTACTTTCTGCTAGGTGGAGTCGGTGCTGCACTGAGAAGGGCAGCGTTGTTGTATTGAAGTGCAGCGGCTGATGCACTGTTTGTTTCCTCAATCTGGGTGGAGTAGTGTTGTATCTGGGTGGTGTACTGTTGTATCTGGGTGGAGTAGTGTTGTATCTGTGTGGTGTAGTGTTGTATCTGGGTGGTGTACCGTTGTATCTGGGTGGTGTTGTGTTGTATCTGGGTAGTATTGTGTTGTATCTGGGTGGTGAAGTGTTGTATCTTGGTAGTATTGTATCTGGGTGGAGTAGTGTTGTATCTGGGTGGAGTAGTGTTGTATCGGGTGGCGTAGTGTTGTATCTGGGTGGTGTAGTGTTGTATCTGGGTGGTATAGTGTTGTATCTGGGTAGTATTGTGTTGTATCTGGGTGGTGAAGTGTTGTATCTTGGTAGTATTGTATCTGGGTGGAGTAGTGTTGTATCTGGGTGGAGTAGTGTTGTATCTGGGTGGCGTAGTGTTGTATCTGGGTGGAGTAGTGTTGTATCTGGGTGGAGTAGTGTTGTATCTGGGTGGCGTAGTGTTGTGTCTGGGTAGTATTGTGTTGTATCTGGTTGGTGTAGTGTTGTATCTGGTTGGCGTAGTGTTGTGGCTTGGTGTTGTTGTGTTGTATCTGGGTTGGGGTTGAGTTGTGTTGTGACTGAGTATTGTGGCGTTGTAGCTGGGTAGCATAGTGTTGTAGCTGGGTAGCATAGTGTTATATCTGCGTAGTGTAGTGTTGAATATTAGTTGCGTCATGGTGTTTCTGAATACAGGTTCAAATACTTAGAGGGCGACACAGGGTAAATATACATCCAAATACTTAGAAGACGATAAAGAGTAAATATACATTCATTTTGTATGACGACACAGGGTAAATACACACTCATATACATGAATGACGACACAGGGTAAATATACATTCATATACACAGAGGACGACAGTGGGTAAATATTCATTGATGTATATAGAGAATAAATATGCAATCATTGACGTAGATGACGACTAAGGGTAAATATACATTAATATACATAAGATGGATACAGCTTAGGGAATTAAATATTCACATAAAAAGAGGACGACAATGGGTAAATATATATTCATATACCTAGATGACGACATTGGGTAAATATATATTCATATACCTAGATGACGACATTGGGTAAACATATATTCATATACATAGATGACGACAATGGGTAAGTATATATTCATATACATAGATGACGACGATGGGTAAGTATATATCCATATACATAGATGACGACAATGGGTAAAATACAATCATATACATAGAGGGTAACACAGGATGAATATACATTAAGATGCATAAAGGACGATACAGCTAGTGTAAATGTACAATCATATACATGGGGATAACACAGGATGAATATACATTAAGATGCATAAAAAACGATACAGCTAGGGTAAATATACAATCATATAAATAGAGGATAACACGGGATGAATATACATTAAGATGCATAAAGAACGACACAGCTAGGGTAAATTTACATTCATATACGTCCTCATATACGTAGAGGAGGACACAGAGTAAATATATCTTCATTTACAAAGAGGATGACATAGAGCAAATATAACTTCATTTACATAGAGGACGACACATGGTAAATAAAGATTCATATACATAGGGGACGACACACGGTAAATATTCATTTATCTACATAGAGGACGACAATCTTAAATAGATGCAAACCCTAATGCATAAATTCATTTACAAAAATATACACCCTTCAAAAATAGAAACGCACAGGTAATATGTAGTTCATTGAACCTGACCACACAAAAATTCCGGTATATAAATTGGATATACACTCTTCAAAAAAAGAAACGCACAGGTAGACTTTTAGTAATTTTATGGTAGGTAATAAAGTCGATATATTTAATTTAATATCATAGATACAAATATGACCTCAATAGTCACATGTTGTCGTTGTACAAAGGCATTGAAAACTGTTCATTGTCATGTCACAAGAGGCCACGGCTCTGCATCTCATCGGCACTGACTGGATAAGTGTACGAATTCTGTCCTACGGACTTCTGCCCAATTCTGCTTCTAACGCGATGGCTAGTTGTGGGAGTGTCTGCGGCGTTTGATGAGGTTGACGTACACGTCGATCGAGTTCATCCCAGAGGTGTTCGATTGGGCAGAGATCTGGAGATCTCGACCGGCCAGGGCAAGCCGTTGATGTTGGCATTATGCAGGTAGTCTACCGTGACACGAGTTGTGTGCGGTGAAGCGTTGTCCTGTTGAAACAGCTCCTTCTGGCGGTCAATGATTGGAAGAAGGTGAGATTGAAGAATTTCATTCATGTAGCGATTTGCTGTCAAATTTCCCTGAACCACAACCAAGTCAGATCTCCTGGTGTTGGATATGGCCCCCCACACCATGACACTAACGCCACCGAAATTGTCTAATTCACGTACATAGTGTTGGGCAAAACGCTCATTTCGACGACGATAAACATGTTAAAGAACAAATCGTGATTCATCGCTAAACCACACTCATCTCCAGTTTGTCAAATTCCAAGGCTACAAGCGTCGCTGTCGATGGATCTGTTGCAAAACAGGGACGATAACTGGTCTTCTTGGTCGGATTTCAGCCTCGCGAAGATGGTTCCTGACAGCCTGGTCCGATATCCTCCTCCAACCAGGGATGCGTCCCGCAGTCTCTGTAGCTATGGCATTGCGATGACGTAGATGGAACAATCGAGTGTAGCGATCCCGTGCAGGCTTGGTAACTCTTGGTCGGCCGGTTCTCCGACGGTCTGCAGTGGAAATGAACTGTGTGTATCGGTCCCAAATGGTGCTGTGGTGGACGTTGAAGTGGCGTGCAACAGAAAACTGCGATTCCCCTCTTTGGATACGTCCTGGGGCGATGTTCCGATCGACAGCACTGAGTCTGACTGAGTCAAACTTGAAAAATGTTGACACTTGAATGACAAATTATTGGCTTATGCTTGCCTTTTTATAGCCACTACCACGAGTTACGAATGACATAACTTGCACGTGCATTTTGCTTTACTGTTTTCCTCCATGACATTTTTGAACAAGTGTGAAGACAATGCTGTTTAAGACACTGCAAATCGACAATGGCTGCGTTGTGACGCACCGTTTGTCGAATATCAGGCCATCAACATTTTCAAATAACATATATCCAATTTATATACCGGATTTTGTGTGCTGTATTTTTTGAAGAGTGTACAAAAATATCAGATGTATATCAGATTGTATCTATAATTGTGTTTCTTCAGAAGGAATCTTTATTGGATTGAGATCCTTGAGGACCCCGAAGACTTGAAGACGCACTCAACTCATAGGACTTGACATGACCAGAAACTGAACAATGCCTGTTCTCAGAATTCGTGTCCTGAAGCATTGGACATTTATACTGGTACTGGTGCTGTTCGTATATATTTGGTATCAATCTCAGACAGACTGGATTTACAAATCGGGTAGAGATATTCCTTCTAAAGGTACACGGAGTAAATTGGAAATCAGGGTCCATAAAACTCTCGTTGTTAATGATCATGAAGTATCAAAGATCACAACACATCCTACACGGAAAAGAGGACATGGCCAATATATAGCAGTGCCTAAGTTCAGTGACCGTCACGTCAGAAAAGGGATTCAGTCTTATCAACCCTATAGGATGAAAATGAACAAACCTTTCGATGGAAGAAGATCTGAACGGCCCTTTGTGAACAGTATAAGTGAAAGAGAGAGGGTGATGGTCAGGCAAGATAATGAAACCCAGAAAACGAAAGCAAAGAATTCCTTAAACAAGATTTCCCCTCAAATCAGAAAGGTAGAACAAAGACAAATAAACCCGAACGAGGTTAAACAAATGCTTGCAAATGTCCAAAACTGGTTTCATGTAAGGCATGAATCCGAAAAGGATGCATTACTTAACAGACATGAATTTGTATATCATCTGAACTCAAAGGTTTGCAATGGTGACATTAACATATTGATATTCGTACACTCAGCTCCTAATAACATTGAGAAAAGGAATGATATACGTGACACATGGGGATCTGTACAGAGGCACGGAAATTTATCCATTGCTATTGTGTTTATGTGTGGAGAGACAACAGACCGTGCCCTGCAAGAACAACTAATCAGAGAATCTGGTACATATGGTGACATAGTTCAAGGCAACTTTCTGGACTCGTACAGAAATCTGACTTACAAACACGTGATGGCTCTTTGCTGGATCACGTCACAATGCCATGACGTTAAAACTGTTGTCAAGGTTGATGACGATGTTCTCATCAATATTTTCAAGCTGGTCAGTTATTCTGTTCAGATTGGTCACCACCATAATAATCTTTACTGTTCCGCCTTTCAGAGAGGGAAACCGAAGAGGGATACTAGCGATAAATGGTACACCCCTGAAGAACAGTACCCATTTGAGTTATACCCTCCTTACTGCGAGGGTCTGGCCTACATAACGTCTGTGGATGAAGTTAAAGCGTTGTGTAAAGCGTCTGAAGACACGAAATTCTATTGGGTGGATGATACTTTCGTCACTGGTATTCTTGCGCAGAAAGCAGGATTGTCACTCAGTTCCTTTAAGAGACATCACGAGTATGTGAAAAATGGGCGAGATCATCATACTTCATTTCAGTCTGTGTTGTTTTTTCTAGAGTATAAGAACTGGACTTCTTTATGGCAAAAATTGGTGACAATAAAGAACATGTTTTAATTACCCGTTGATTATTGATCAAAGGAGACGTTCTTGAATGAGCAGCTTGAATGAGTCGTCATCAAACACAAGCTAAAAGAATGTTTTTAGATTATTTGATAGTATCCTTGCAATCTAACACAGGCCCAACCTAATGCGCAGCAGTTAATGCATTTTAATGTGCTACAGCCAATGCATCCAATGCACCCCAATGCGCTACGGTTAATGTGTTTTAATGTGGTAGTCAATGATCTTACACCAGAGGTGGGTCATAGACCGTTCCCTGAGAATACCACAGTGTAACGCGGTCATAAGCCCTGTGAAGATACATCAGTGCACTAGGCTTATATTGACATACCGACAAGGCGCCTCGTGTCCTATGCCATGTATTGACATATCAACAGGGTGCATCATGTCCTGTGCTATATATTGACTTGGCGCCTCGTGTTGTGTGCTTAATCTTCACAGATGCCTCGTGTCCTATGCAATATGTTGACAAATCGACATGAGACATGATTTTGTAAGTCATATATTTACACATCGACAAAAGACATGGTTTGCTTAGTCATATATTGACACATCGACATGATACATGGTTTGCTAATTCATATATTGATACATCGACATGATACATGGTTTGCTTAGTCATGTATTAACACATCGTCATAATACATGGTTTGCTATGCCACATATTGACACATTGACAGGGCACCTCGTGTGCCTTGTAATACATTGACAAGAAACTTTCCCTGTTTGGTATCCAATTATCTGATACCAGGATCAGATTACTTCCCCTATTCTACATCCGATTCTTTAATATCAGGCTCAAACTACTCCCCCTATTCTATAACCGATTCTTACGTCTCAGGCTTTATCTACTCGCCCTATTCTACATCCGATTCTTTAATATCAGGCTCAAACTACTCCCCCTATTCTACATCCGATTCTTTAATATCAGGCTCAAACTACTCCCCCTATTCTACATCCGATTCTTTAATATCAGGCTCAAACTACTCCCCCTATTCTATAACCGATTCTTACGTCTCAGGCTTTATCTACTCGCCCTATTCTACATCCGATTCTTTATATCAGGCTCAAACTACTCCCCCTATTCTACATCCGATTCTTTAATATCAGGCTCAAACTACTCCCCCTATTCTACATCCGATTCTTTAATATCAGGCTCAAACTACTCCCCCTATTCTACATCCGATTCTTTAATATCAGGCTCAAACTACTCCCCCTATTCTACATCCGATTCTTTAATATCAGGCTCAAAATGCTCCCCCTATTCTATAACCGATTCCTTCGTATCAGGCTTAATCTACTCGCCCTATTCTACATCCGATTCTTTATATCAGGCTCAAACTAATCCCCCTATTCTACATCCGATTCTTTAATATCAGGCTCAAACTATACCCCCTATTATATAACCGATTCTTTAATATCAGACTCAAACTACTCCCCCTATTCTATAACCGATTCTTACGTCTCAGGCTGAATCTACTCGCCCTATTCTTCATCCGATTCTTTATATCAGGCTCAAACTACTCCCCCTATTCTACATCCGATTCTTTAATATCAGGCTCAAACTACTCCCCCTATTCTACATCCGATTCTTACGTCTCGGGCTCAAACTAAACCCCCTGTTCTATAACTGATTCTTGAGTATCAGGCTCAAACTACTCCCCCTATTCTACATCCGATTCTTTAATATCAGGCTCAAACTACTCCCCCTATTCTATATCCAAATATTTGATATCAGGCTCAAACTACTGCCCCTATTCAACATCCAATTCTTTAATATCAGGCTCGAACAACTCCCCCTATTCTTTATCCGAATATTGAGTATAAGGCTCCAAATACTCCCCCGAGTCTATATCCAATTCTCTGATATCAGGCTCAAACTGCTCCCCCTGTTCTACATCAGATTCTCTAATATCAGGCTCAAACTACTCCCCCAATTCTGTATCCGATTCTTGAGTATCAGGCTCAAACTACTCCCCCAATTCTTCATCCGAGTCTTGAGTATCAGGCTCAAACTACTCCCCCAATTCTGTATCCGAGTCTTGAGTATCAGGCTGAAACTACTCCCCAAATTCTGTATCCGAGTCTTGAGTATCAGGCTGAAACTACTCCCCCAATTCTGTATCTGAGTCTTGAGTATCAGGCTGAAACTACTCCCCCAATTCTGTATCCGAGTCTTGAGTATTAGGCTCAAACTAATTCCCCTATTCTACATCCGATTCTTGAGTATCAGGCTCAAACTACTCCCCCTATTCAATATCTAATTTTTTTATATATGAGGCTCATACTTTATCTGTAAGGTTGTCTATTTTGTGGATGTGTGATGATTTTGTGCTTCCGTTTTTTGCCTTTGGAGAGCTCCACATGGCCTTTGAATTGTTTTTAGTTGTGTAAGTTAGTTAGTTTTAAATACTGCAGATTTTTCCAAGTGTTCTTTTCTAGTGTTTTTTTTTTTTTATAAGCATGTGTGTACCGTTTCGTAGTTGTTTTGCATGTGGGAGTTCATGTGGGTGGGGTTTGCGCGTCTAAATGCTCGCTTTCTTTGTCTTCTAGCCTCTTTGATTTCAGGGGTCCATCGGGCAACTTTATTTCTTTCGGGTTTGGGGTTAGTTTTGGGGATACACTTGGTGGCTATAGTGATAATTTCTTTAGTTAAATGTTTGGAAATGATTTCGGGGTCTGAATTTATAATTTTTGGTTGGTCAGTTTGGTCAATTAGAGTTTTCTATTTTTTCAGTCTGCTTTTTTTGTAGTTAAATTTTGGATCTCAGGAAGTTTGTTCTGGTATATAATTTGGACCAAATTTTAAATTTATTGACATTGGGAAGTTGGGATTGACTTCCGCATGGGTCGTCAAATACTTCCAATGTAGATTTACTTGCCAAATTGGGAGTAGTTATTGTCAGGTCCATTGCAGTGAGGTAGTTTTGGTTTTCCTGTGGTCTGTAGCTGGTAGGGGATTTCACATTAAGAAATTATAAAGTCGTTTTGTCGTGCCCACACGTATAGTATTATTACCAAATATGTATGTGTAGTTTTTAGTGGTCCAGCTATAGAGGTGTGTGTGTTGTCCCATTATAGTTGATGGATTTAAATTGTACCAACGGGAGAGTGTATAGTTAGGTTTGGAAGAGATACTGGTGAATTGTTTCGATTATGTTGTTGGGAGCGAGGGTTAGTGCAGTGATGAATTCTATGAGGTTTTGTTGGATATTTTGTAGTTGGACGATTGTGTCTTCTGCTGTGTATACTGAGGATGTTGTGTGTGCTGTACGGAGTTTTGAGTTTCATCTAGGAGGTTTGGGGGCTACGTTGGTAGTGACTGGTGGTTGAGGTCCTGAGTGCGGTTGTTCATGGCTGGCTGTGGTAGCTGGAGTCGTAGTTTTGCCTTTGTTTGGGGTTTGCCTACGACCCCATGATGACGCTAGACTTGCAGAGAGACCTGAGCTTGGTGCTCTTGGCTTGCTTGGGCACCCTGGATTGGCGGCGGGGTGGTGGGTTTGGGGTGGGTGGGTGGGTGGGTGGGTGTGGGTTGGGTGAGTTTGGTTGTCGTCGTCGCCGTCGAGTGAGGATGAGTTGGATACGGGTTGGGAGTCAAAATCCCTGTCGTACCAGTTATAGAGTTTGGAGTTTAAGCTCCTTGCTGGGGCAGGGAGGTCAGATGCTGTAAGGTGTTTATTTATTGATAGGATTTGGTTTTGGCGGACTGGGCAAGAGTTTGAAAAGGCGGTATGATCATATTGGTCACAGGTTTTACAGTAGGGTTGTTGATTGCACTCAGTGCTGTTATGGAACTCGGAGCTGCATTTGGAACATCTGTCCAGGTTTTTTACAATTTGATTGTGCGTGTCCAAAAAGGTGGCAGATGGTACATTGGACTGTTTTTTTATATAGTTTTTGGCACTTTGCAATAGATTGATCCAAATGTTATTGTGTCAGGAAGTCAGGTGCCTTTGAAAGTCAGGATGATAGTGGAGGTGTTTGATGGGGGATCTTTTGGGTTTTTTCTGGTGATCCTTAGTATATTGGTAAGTTGAGGCTGAGTTTGGAGTTTGTTTGATTCGATTACATAAGCCTGTAGGTCGGTGGGTTTGGGGTGGATGGGTGTGGGTTGGGTGAGTTTGTTTGTCGTCGTCGCCGTCGAGTGAGGATGAGTTGGATACGGGTTAGGAGTCCAAATCCCTGTCGTACCAGTTATAGATTTTGGGAGGTCAGATGCTGTAAGGTGTTTATTTATTGATAGGGTTTGGTTTTGGCGGACTGGGCAAGAGTTTGAAAAGGCGGTATGATCATATTGGTCACAGGTTTTACAGTAGGGTTGTTGATTGCACTCAGTGCTGTTATGGAACTCGGAGCTGCATTTGGAACATCTGTCCAGGTTTTTAAAAAGGTGGCAGATGGTTCATTGGACTGGTGTTTTTATAGTTTTTGGCACTTTGCAATGGATTGATCCAAATGTAATTGTGTCAGGAAGTCAGGTGCCTTTGAAAGTCAGGATGATAGTGGAGGTGTTTGATCGGGGACCTTGTTGTATTTTTCTGGTGATCCTTAGTATATTGGTAATTTGAGGCTGAGTTTGGAGTTTGTTTGATTCGATTACGTAAGCCTGTAGGTTGTGGTCAGACTCCGCGGGGTCGGTGTAGATGACCCATTTTGTTTCAGATAGCCAACGAGGAGTTTGCCACGATAGATTGATGCCATCTATTGATGTTTGTTTCATTGCCAAATTGAGGTCATATTGTAGGTTAAAGTTTATTTTGTTTATAAATTTGAATTTAAGATTAGCTTGCTTTAGTATAAGCCCGAATTTGTTTTTTTTGTGTACAGTAAGGTGAGTGGGTTGGGACCTGTATTGAATGCTAGAAGTATTAGATGTTGATTGTTGTTGGTCGAGCTGGTTCAGATGCGTCCGTTGGTGACTGTACATTTCTTGCGTCAACAGGAGCGAGTGTATTAGATTGTGTCATTGTGTCAAGTGATTTGTTTGCAATGTG